AAATTGCTTAATTTGCTACTTCTTTTATATAGAATTTGTTTTTTGCGGGGATTGTTCTGTCTACAAGGAGTTGAACAAAGTTTATGATCCATATTTATCTTACAGATTCTCAGCTTTCTATCAAGATTCGCAGGAATAATTTTTTGTTTCTCTTCTTGCTAGGTATGATATAGGTTGTCTTAATAATCAAGGCTACAAGTCTCACATACAGTAAGCATTGCACTGTAGTTCTCTAATCTCTGTCTTTACAATAGTCATTGCAGTGCAGTTGTCTGTCTTTACAATATGCATTGCACTGCAGTTGTCTAATCTCTATCCTTTACCTTAACGTTCCTGCGAGGGAGGTAAATGTGATCCCAAATTCATGATTTCTTTTCATTCCTCATTAACTCATGGTCCGTATTATATATTTTTCAGTCACAAGGAAATTTTTATTATTGATGGAATTGGTGTCTAATCTTGAATCTCTATCCATCAGAGATTTGTATTAAACGACTACTAACACAATTCATTATCCGTGCAGTTACTAACTTTGTTTGGAGAATATTTGATCTATACTTCTATTGTTACTTACATATCCTCTCCAGATTCCTTTCTAATGTCGGTGGACAAGTTGTTTGCTCACACACGATCAAGTGTCTTATAATTGCAATCTACAGTTATATTCGTCTTGATTCACTTTTTTGCAACAGATATCCTATATCTCCTTCACAGTAACATATATATTTGTATTTATAGGATTTTTTTATTTTGTAGTAGAATAAATTTTAGATAATATTGCAAGAGAATTGAATAATTCTCTACTCAGTTTGCATCATGTCAATATAATACACCAACCTTGCTCAAACTGATTACATCATTCATATTTGTATATCTGAGTTAACCAGAATTTCTATGAGTTGGTGTTGTAGGTGTGCTTACATGGCAAAGCTGTTATGGTCCTCAAAATTAATCATTGTCCACTAACTATACATCTATTTACTGTTAGAACATTGTAATATGAGGTTGCAGAATGATTGCCTTACTACAATTGATTTATTGGTTTTTATGCTTCCTATATTTGCTGGATTAAAACAGTATAGAACTAATATGTAAGTACTTCTAATAAATATTTCAATTTTGGTTTGCGTGACCGCAAAAATATCCTACTACAATGATAAAATTCAATTCTTTTTATCTCTCATTCGCCCTCCAAGAATTTACCTCATGAATATCCACAGTATTGCACACTAATACCGCAGCAACGCGCGGAGTATCATCTAGTATACAATATAACAGTTACTAATATAACGCTCCGCACGTTGTTGTGGAATTCTATAACAATTAAGTTATCAAAAATAAAATTAGTATATACGAGAATAATACCAGAACCATTTAACCTAGAGGTGAATGGTGGGTATATGCATTATATATTTCCTTGTGACGTCCAGGTTCAATTATTTGTTGTTGAAAGCATAAAAAAATATGGAGGGCTTGCTTGTGGTGGAAAGTGAAAAATGAAATGGTTGCACGCATGCTTGATGATGGAAAAATTGTCCCAGTTGTTCCTGAATAGCTTCCTTCAAAAGGATTTCCGCTTGCTTGGTGAATGTCTTGCTAGATATAATTTTTTGGGATTGAGATTTAGTATCTTTTAGGTGTTTACGAAACTTATCTAGAAGGCTTGCATGTAGTGAAAAGCTCAAAGAAAAGTTGATTGGTTGCATGCTCCTGATGATGTTGATATCTTGCATTTGCATTTAAATGAGATCACTTACTTCGATATATAGGATATATGATAAGGTAATGTTTGATTTGTTGCACAAAATTTACACATTGGTGATGAAAAGCGATATGAATTATGGCCATGATACATATTTTTTCATCGAGAACTAAGGAACTCAGGATCAATATTTGAGAACCATAACCATCTCTTCTTTCAGTGCAACTTCAGCAAACGTGTTTGCAAGTTTTTTGCAAATTGCTTGACTGGTGGGCCCCAATATGTCAATGTATCAAATGGCTTGGGCTGCAAGGCATTTGGTCATCCATTCTTCACTGAGGTGGTCTTCACGGCATCATGGAATATCTGGATCTTGAGGAATGCTTTTTTTTTCAGGAATGAAAGGCCACCTTTTGTGGATTGGCGTCCCAGCTGCATAGATGCTACGAAGCACCGATACGGCAGAAATCTCTGTATCGTCGTTCCATACGCCACCGATACCCCGATACGCCAGATACGACTTAGATACGGGTATCCCAGAAGTATCCCTTTTTTGATTTAGAAAGAAAAGAAAAAAAATGCCGATACGGCTGTGAAACGCGCGAGACACGGCTGGGACACGCCGAGGCAGCCCCGAGCGAGCCCAATAGCCCACGATGGGTCGACTAAACCTAGTTCTCTCGCACCCTATCGTCACCACTCACCAGGAAGGGATCGAGGGCGCCGCCGCCGCCCCCGCCATAGCCATCAGTGGCTCGCCGGCGCCGGCGCCGCCGCCCCAACTTCCTGGAATCGCATCTCTGCCTCTCTTCTACTCTTCTCCGCCGGCGACACAAGGTAAACACCTGAGCCCCGATGTTGTACTGATGTATGGTTGATCCATTGATGTATGCTTCGGGCTTGTCTACTGCTGGCTTTATGTATCGTTGATCCGTTTATGTAGGCAGTAATAGCACTCTCATAGTCATAGCTCATAGGTGTATACTCTAGTAATAGTTCGATATGTTCCTGCTAGCTAATGTTGGTTGGATAAAAGTGCTAGCTAAGGATGCTGCTTGTTGGATAAAATTGCTAGTTGATGTTGCTGGCTTGCTGGTTGTTGATGTTTGTGGGGTAAAATTACTTGCTGATATTGCTGTTGCCTCCTATTGCTAGGGAAGAAGATACAAGTATACACCATGTCATCTGTGGGGAGTAGCATGGCACTGTTTGACTATGGATTTGTCTATGGACCATCTTGTTGTTATGTTGTAATGCACTGTTTGACTATGAATTTTCCTCTTTATCATGTTACTTAATGAACTTTTGCATTATTTGTCTATGGCCATTGAGAATTTAGAATTGAAACTTGTTGGAGGCTGAGAACAAGGAAGTTTATATTCATTTCATCATTTGGTATGCTACTGCTACAAGCCAACTTGTTTACAACCTTTTCAATTTTCATGATTGTTTGTTTCATATTATCAAATCTAATATCATGTGATGTATTTTCTATTTTGCATACATCATGAGGAATTGAGGAGTTGAGGGCCTGGATGATCATTCAAAAGTGAAAAGAACGAAGGCATGGAAGCAATCAGGCAATCAGTGAGGCGTTATTTTGATCTCATCTCACATATTTTATTATGTTGGTTTTATTACATGTCATTTTATTATTATCTATATATGCTTGCCGTATCGCCGTATTGCTGTTTCTAGAAATTGCCGTATCCCGTATCGCCGTACCCGTATCACCGTATCGGTGCTACATAGCATAGATGATGACTCTGTTTTACCATAGAATTAAGTGTAAATAAAAGGATAGGTTATTAACTTGGATTTCTTCCTTGCCATCAGTAGGTTCCATGGTATATAGGTTTTCTTCCACTTTTTCTCTATTTTTAGTCCCCTGTTTGTGTATGACGTACACTTCTTGTACTCTGTTTGATTTTTAATACTTAATTGTGGGTTGTTGCCTTGCAGTATACAGTCAAAAAAGTATATAATGCATACATATACTATCTTCATTCTTCATTGTAGAATTTAGGATGGCCATGGCTGGTTTCAAATTAGTTTTCTCTGGACAGGAAATATTTTGCCTTGTTTCAAAAAAAAATGCCAGTCCATCTTACTGGCCTATGGGCCCACATACACCAGGCACTGAAAGCTCCGGCGGGTGGTTGCGCAGCTTTCGGCGATGGGAATTCAACGCGGATCATTGGCCGGCGCTAGGTACGTACTAGCTGGAGTGAGCGCTAGCTGGTCGACTGAGGAAGTCCGGTTCTGCTCGACTGCTTTGCTACGTGGAAAGGAACGGGGCACCGGCCTCTTAATTTGACACGCAATTGGTTCAGGTTTCAAATTCTACATCGGGGAATTTCAGCAAACTTCTGGGAAAGGCCTTTGGTGCTGCGAAAGTTGGAGAGAATGTAGACAGTGAAATTGGCCTAGTGTGACTTCTTTTATAGAAGTATATGAGTAATACACTTTCATCCCTCCTTTAATTAATCTTTACAAAATGCATGGTTTTATTGCAGTAAAAATGAACAAAACCATACACTTGAAGAAGGATTTCCATGCACATAGACCTTCATATATATCAAAGAGAAAGGTTCCAAAAAGGAAACAAAAAAAAAAGAGAGAAGGGGGCACACAGGAGCTGTTCTGCTCTCAGGCCCAAACAATGTTGGAAATTGAAGGAGGCAAATCGAAGGAGGCAACCCAGTTTCAGTGGCGCTACGAGGACCAGCTCCTGAGGAGCCCCGGCCTCCCCAGCATCTGGTCCAGCGCGAGCACGACGGCCATGGCCAGCGACACGTCCATGCCCGCCGGCCGCACCACCATCCGGAACACGTCCGTGCCTACCGCCTCCTTGGGCTGCACCTCCACCACCGCGCGCCGCTGCTCGTCGTACACCGCGCAGCACCGCCGCGCGTAAGACCCCTCCACCTCGTACCGCGCGCCGCCCGCGGCGCCCCCGCACGCCGCCACGTGCGCCGTCGACTTGCCGCCGCCGCGCATGTACTGCGGCGTGCGCTTCACCGCGTAGAGCGGCGGCGCGCGCGTCTCCTCGCCGGGGAAGACCAGCCACTGGTCGCCCAAGAGGCTGATGGCCTTCTTGCGGCGGACGGTGAGCACGGGGCGCCCCGCGGCGTCCATGAGCACCACCTCGGCGCGGGAGTCGGACGCGTAGATGTCCACGCGGTACACCAGGTTGCCGCTGGCGTCGAACACCGTGAACCCCCGGCAGTTGAAGAGCAGCGACTTGCGCCACACCGTCAGTGTCACCGGCTCATCGTCGCGGGCCGCCGCCGCCACCATCCCCAGAGACGGCACGGCCAAGTTCGGGTGCACCTTCGCCATGGCCACACTTGAGACTAGACCGGTGGATCAAGAAACCTAGAGATAGATAGATCGAGGAGTAGGGAGAGGTGAGCGAAGAGCTGCTGCTGGATTGTTTACCAATGGATCGCTGGAGACGAAGAATAGATCAATGGAGCTTGTCTGATTTGGTCACGGTGGTATCAGGAGTATATATACTGGGGTGGTGGACAGGAATGCCCCTGGGATAATTAGGTTGGGTGGGCAGGGCGATGTGGCTCATGGCTCTCACGTGTATGGGGGCAGGGGATGACATTAACAACTCGCTGGATACTTGATAGTGCCATGCCACTTCGGTGTAATCCAAGATTAGTGAGTCACTTGTGACTTTTCGCATCCTCAAATCAGAGGGCCGCACTTTGGTGTAAGCAACACTTAATTGGTGGGTTACTTGTGACTTTTCTGCAGACCCAAGTTAATGTGGGGTGAGATTAGTGGGTCACTCATGACTTTTCACAGTCTCAAGTGCGGCAGTACATTTTTTTCTTCTTCAGAAAAAAATCCGGTGTGCGACCTTCCACGCGTTAGACTTAGAATGGTCGCATAATGTTTATTTTCTTGCAGGTTTTCCATCATTATAGGTAGTGTGTGCTAATTTCCAACAAATTGTTGCAAGAAAGTTAAAGGAAGTGGCAGAGAAGCGATGATGGGGACAGTTAGAGGAGCGGTGCCGGCGAGGGGGGTGGAGATTTTTATTAGACAAACAGGGGTGGAGATTGTGAGAAGACATAAATGCAACCAATGAGGAGGGTGAGGAGGAGGTGTTGCACCATAGGGCTATAGCCCGAATGGTCATGCCTTCAATCCACCAAACACTTTTTAGCACGTTTGCGAGAAACGAAAATTTGCCATGTGAATGGAATGCAACAAATCTTGTACTGTGTTTCAACCTCCTTTTCGGAAGAATAAATAAATATCATACGGTGTTTCTAAAAGAAAGCAACAGAACTCTTGCTTTGGACCAAGGACTGGCATGTATGCTTTGGTGGCCTAATTAGTTACACTCAGACCAGCGCAAGCACTCCCACTGATAACAGATGTGACGTTGCTAAGAGCTGAACTTGAAGAACATGGGCGAGCTGGCTATGTCTTTAGTTGGATCCCAGCTTGGAAAGTTTGCCATGTGGATCATCCAGCCAATCATTGTAGACGCTGTATGGGGGCGTTCCTACACAAAAGCATGCTCCGTGAGGCCAATCTATCGCAAGTGGTTAAATTCCTTAGGCCGAAAGAGCTTGAGCACTAATGATATAACATCAAGAATAGATCGATGCATTTCTCCACCACCGTCCCGTCCAGAAAGTTGGCTTCGAAAACAAGCAAAGCTCTCCTCTGATACGTGTTTGGCCACCACTTGGCCTCGTTTAGAATTTAATTACGCAACTCACGCACAACATTTTCTGAAACAGCAAAAGTTGCTGAGAATATGTACAATTTTAGTCTTTTATCGGAAAAATACTCTACGTACGATTTTCAGTAGATATATGATGATTCCTCCACTCGGTGCTTGTCCGCACAAATGGTTGCCTATAACGATTCACTACCCTCACAAAAATTCGATTACGCCTCAGCGTTTTCGTGGGCGAATCCACTTTAAATTTGATACCCATATGTGCTTTACCTGGATTTGATCTCAGCCATGAACCGTGTGGCGTGGTGTACGTTATTTAACACGTTTGACACCATTTGAAAACAAGCAAAGCTCTGCCCTGATACGTGTTTGGCCACCACCTGGCCTCGTTTAGAATTTAATTACGCAACCCACGCACAACATTTTCTGAAACAGCAAAAGTCTTTGTCTGAAAGAATACGTACGATTTGATCTCCGCCATCAGCACAGTGTGGTCACAGTGTTTAACACGTTTGACACGGATCCCCGGCAGTCCGCAACACTCCAAAAAAATCCGCGGAGAAGAAGACGGTCACGACGGGGTGAACAGTCGGAGCGCGCGTCGCCGTCAGCCCCGGCCGCGCTAGCACAAAGACTCGCCGGCGTCTAGCTCCGGCCCCGCATTTGTCCTTCGAATCTACCGGGTCAAAAATCTCGTGGACAGACAGGTGGAAACCGGGGCCGGCCCCCGACGCGTGGCGCGGAGGGGCGGCTCGGGTGGGCGCGCGGCGTCAGCGGTCGGCTGGAGATTACATTACGGCCGCAGAACGATCATTGTTAATGGCGGCCGAGGAATGACCCTTTCGGTCGTCGGTCGATGCGGACGATAGATCTTTTGCTCGCATGCAATGCAAGCGATGGCGATGGCGATTTGGCGCCGGTGAGGCGCGATTATATTAGGCGGAAGATATGGTCAGTCGGGTGGTTAGGCTGCGTCCGACCTGGCCATCTGCTAGCCAAGTGATCTGCGCCCGAGAAATTATGAGATGCTTAGGTGGTACGGTGGGTTCATTTAGCCGGTGATCGTATCTTTATCTCTGCACGGTATGCGGCTTGGGGCCGGCAGAAATGTTTGTTTAGAGGAAATTATGTGATCCTTAGGTGATGCTGGGATTAATCAGCATGTGATCATATCTTTATCTCTGCAGGGACTGCGATTAGGAGCTGGCCAAAATGTCGGTTTACAAGAAAATATAGTATCCTTAGGTGACACGGGGATTGATGAGGTGTTTTCTTGTGTGGCTCCGAGTCACTTGTGTTTATTTTGTGTCACTTGAGTACCAATTTTTTTCAAAAATAAAAACTACTCCCTCCGTCCCATAATGTAAGACGTTTTTTAACACTAGTGTAGTGTTAAAAAGTGTCTTACATTATGAGATGGAGGGAGTATATTTGAGAGTTGTAGAAAACAAAAATGAAAAACACACACACATGTGCATTTTGTTGATCTGGAAAACTATTGATAAATCTACATAGCTGTAACTTTTTATCAATATACACTCTAATTTATGTGTGGATTTATAGTAGTGAATATGCACTTATTATCACTCGCAAAAAAAGAATATGCACTTGTTATAGATTCATATATTTATCTTCTTTTGTTGTCCTCTAAACACATTTCTATGAAATTTTACTTCTATGCATTGAGAATGTATATGTATTTCTTTGGGGAGGGGGGAGGGGGGGGGGGGTTGATTTACTTTTCTTTGTATGGGCTCCAAGTGACCTGAGCTCCTTTTATGTTTTCCAGATTAACAATTCCTATCTTGTGTCAGGTATCTGAAAATAGAATATGGTCTGGAGTGAAATTGAACTTTTCTAACTATTTCTATCAATTCATAAAAATATTACTGATATTTGATCACAAAGAGTACTGTCATTATGTTTCATTATGAACAATATTTGATAATTAATTATCTATGTTCATTCCAACACATTCTTATAAAACACAACGTAAAAGTCTTGAAAGCATCACATGTTTTGGAACGAAATGAATAGAGCGGTAGCTTGGTGCTCGAGGTATTTGTGTTGTAGAAAAGGTAAATTTGGAGTATTCGGTGCAGACCTAAACTAAATTTGATCTAGAAAATATGCTGGTTTACACTAACCGATAATACTTTTTTTTCGAAACGGAGGCAAAAGTTTTGCCTCATCGATTAATTAAGAAGAAGAGAATTGCCCGGTTAATTTATGGAAAATCGGGCGAAAACCAATACAAACGAAGCACGAACAAACTACTCCCAAGACATGAAACCCCACAACCGCACAGGCGGCCCGCCAAACTCTCCAAAAACACAACATCCACAAACCCCTTCACTGCTACTACGCCAAGTGACTCCCCACGAGAACACCTTGACACAAGACATCAAGCATCTCCCAACCCACAACGAGAACCCAAACAAAGAGGACAAGCCGAGAGACCAAAGATCATCCATCAAGCAGCCATAGACACCTTGCTTTTGGCATCATTTTTGCCTTTGCCCGCCTTTCTTTGTTTGCCCCTTATTGGCGTCCCCGTCAGGAGACAAGCAATTGACCTGCCCAAACCCGGTCTAGCAACCTCCATGTTGGCTAGCAAATCACAGAGTTCCTTCGCGAAAAGAGCATTTGGATTTGGAGTAGGTGCCAACACAAGTGGCTCAATGGTCATGCCACTCACAGGCATCACCTGCTCAACGGTCGCAGACGAGGGAAGGGCAGCAACATCTAAAACTCCATGCTCCACGATGCTGAGAGATAGGTTGTCTGACCCCTGACAAGACTCCACGAGTGGTGGTGAGGGCACCAAGTCCACCTCCGAAGCCTGACAAGGCTCCACGGGGGTGGTGAGGACACATGGTCCACCTTCGAAGCCTGGAGAGAGCCCAACTTGAGCTGCTCCATCGACACAGACGAAACATGTTCCCCACACAACACCTGCAACTCAGGCATGATCTGCAGCACCGAAGACACAACCTCGGCGGATGCCTCACCCACGGAGTCAGACAACACAAGGGGCGTCAAACTAGACCCAACACGGGGCGAGAAGCTACCAAAGAGCTTTGTATCCGCCTCATCCATGAAGCCAACAGAAGACTCAACCACGGGAGCCTGTGCAGGAGGGAGCCTTTGCAGAGTAGCCTCCGCGCACTCCAGAAAGCTCCCAATACGCACCATCCAGCCTTGCAAGGAGTCGGCAACGTCGCGAAGCGGCTTAATTGCCTCATCCATCTGTGAGGAAGTCATGCAATGAAGATCAGATCCTAGCAACTTCGACTGCACCCCTAGAGCATACTAGAGCGTCACATCTATCGGGACAGAAGGTGTTGGAAATATGCCTTAGAGGCAATGATAAATTGGTTATTAATTATTATTATATTTCCTTGTTCATGATAATCGTTTATTATCCATGCTATAATTGTATTGATAGGAAACTCAGATACATGTGTGGGTACATAGACAACACCATGTCCCTAGTAAGCCTCTAATTGACTAGCTCGTTGATCAACAGATGGTCACGGTTTCCTGACCATGGACATTGGATGTCATTGATAACGGGACCACATCATTAGGAGAATGATGTGATGGACAAGACCCAATCCTAAGCCTAGCA